TTTGCTACAATAGAGTTATTAGAATATATGTAGCCGCTATTTTAGCGTTTTGCTACAATAGAGTTATTAGAATATATGTAGCCGCTATTTTAGCGCTTTGCTACAATAGAGTTATTAGAATAGCTGTAGCCGCTATTTTAGCGTTTTGCTACAATAGAGTTATTAGAATATATGTAGCCGCTATTTTAGCGTTTTGCTACAATAGAGTTATTAGAATATATGTAGCCGCTATTTTAGCGCTTTGCTACAATAGAGTTATTAGAATAGCTGTAGCCGCTATTTTAGCGCTTTGCTACAATAGAGTTATTAGAATATATGTAGCCGCTATTTTAGCGCTTTGCTACAATAGAGTTATTAGAATAGCTGTAGCCGCTATTTTAGCGTTTTGCTACAATAGAGTTATTAGAATAGCTGTAGCCGCTATTTTAGCGTTTTGCTACAATAGAGTTATTAGAATATATGTAGCCGCTATTTTAGCGCTTTGCTATAATAGAGTTATTAGAATATATGTAGCCGCTATTTTAGCTTTTTCCTACAATAGAGTTATTAGAATATATGTAGCCGCTATTTTAGCGTTTTCCTACAATAGAGTTATTAGAATATATGTAGCGGCTATTTTAGCGCTTTGCTACAATAGAGTTATTCGAATATATGTAGCCGCTATTTTAGCGCTTTGCTACAATAGAGTTATTAGAATATATGTAGCCGCTATTTTAGCGTTTTGCTACAATAGAGTTATTAGAATATATGTAGCCGCTATTTTAGCGTTTTGCTACAATAGAGTTATTAGAATATATATGTAGCCGCTATTTTAGCGTTTTGCTACAATAGAGTTATTAGAATATATGTAGCCGCTATTTTAGCGTTTTGCTACAATAGAGTTATTAGAATATATGTAGCCGCTATTTTAGCGCTTTGCTGCAATAGAGTTATTAGAATATATGTAGCCGCTATTTTAGCGTTTTGCTACAATAGAGTTATTAGAATATATGTAGCCGCTATTTAGCGTTTTGCTACAATAGAGTTATTAGAATATATGTAGCCGCTATTTTAGCGTTTTGCTACAATAGAGTTATAGAATAGCGTAGCCGCTATTTA